ACACACACACACACACACACACACACACACACACACACACACACACACACACAATTTATTCAGCTCTTGCTTTTGCTTTATAAACCACCAGACAGCAATTGCAACATAAAAGTAATTGCAAAAATACAAACACGAAGAACACACAAAAGAAAGACAAGCCGATGAGTAGAAGTAAAGAAAGGTATACGTGAGGGTGATTCACTGTAGAGGGCTGCAGAGGACTAAGAGACATGCATGGCAACACAAATGTTGCAGTATGAAGTTTAATAAAGAAGCTGTTACTTAATTTAAGAAGGCAGATAAATAACTCTTAAATAGTTAGGTGTGAAACTATGAATATTTTGTTTTCTCTCATTTTAGTCACAACCATTTACAAAAGTTTTGTTTAAAGGTCACTTACATTAGAAATTGTCATCAGCCATCAAATCTAATATGCAACACTAATGGTCTTACATAAAATAATTGCTGAGAAAGCACAACTGTAGAAAACAATGGTCCTGTGCAGACCTCTAACACACTCAAAGAAAAAAACAGCATCACTTTGGCTTCTGTGAGGAGCAGATTAAACATGACTTCTTTCAGTGCGACTATGCTGACGTTTTCCGCTGTGAATTCCAGAAACACAGAGAGACGCGCATGCACACACATGTCTCATCTATGAATACAGAGGAGAGTAAGGCTGGATCCTGCTAATTAGTGGGAACCAGTGACGTAGTTATGAAGATGTCTGTTGATTAGGAATAAATAGATTACACTTAGAGGAAGTTTTCAACATATGGAAAGATTTTTCATTGTCACTTACAGATTTAAGGTGAATGGCAGTGATGGATTGTAAGCTTCTGATGCAGGCATGTTATACTGTGGTGTGTTTTATGACGTAGTGTGTCTTAATGGAACGGCTCAATTGATTTGCGTAGATTGCACCTCTTCATACAAATGCACAGACGCCTGTGTACAGCATCGCCTAAGACTGTATATGAAGACGGATGACATGATAGGTCCCCAAAGGTCAAGACAAATAAATTTGATCCCCACCTGGTGGCTGGCTGCAGTATAGGTCCTGGTGTCTGAATCCTTTCACATGAAATACAGCTTTAGACATGAAGTTATAAAGCCATGTAGAAAGTGTGTTCTGCCACAGAGTTACTGGTTATGCACGTGTGGCAGAACCTCAATACCATGGCTCCATCCCTGACCCACAACATGCAGATGTTGACTCCAAATGATGCCATAAGTACAAAACTTCAGCACCCGTATCCTTGATATTCCAGGAAGTGGAAACATGTCGTCCATCTTTATATACAATGTATGCGCATCACGTTTTCAAGGCCGCACTTAAATACTGGCGCTTTAAAATGTAAATTCATGGGCTGTGAATTTGAGAAGTTTTTCAGAAGGGTATCTGGGGACAGCTGGATTAAACAGGAATGAGTGGGACTTGAGGACACAGACTATGTTCTGAGAAAAGGTGCCTAATCCCTCACTCGAGGATACAGTGTTGGAGCGGTACCTTCTCTCCAGCGTTCCCAACCAGGTTCTGAACAGCCCAAGCTCACTGCTGAACGACGCATGCAACAGAACGAGACTTCAACAAAGAGCAGACACAACCACATACAGCCAGAGGGCCACCTTGACATTTGCTCTGCTGGAATCTCAAACCTGACATTTGTGGAGTGGTTGTTTTTTTTTTTTTCTCCAGTAGACAACTGTCACAAAAGGCTGCGGGGGTCTCTGTGTGAGCAAGTGGAAGATCAGCTCAGCCTCAGACAGTATTTAGCGTAGAGGTAGAGCTGAGGAACATATTCAAGGACCTTTCCACTCGATTGTGACAGATGGCTAGCAGGAGAAAAAAGAGGACTCAAAATATCAAAGTAGCCCATCAAACAGATAAGCAGGTGAGCAAGCCAACAAAGCAACACACCAACAGCACACACATACACAGTGTCCACACAGATGACCAACAAGATAACCTGTTAGTTAATTCGTCACAGCTTAATTAACACTTATTGAATGAAGACAGGGTTTTCCCCAGCAAATTCATAGCTGAGGTGGATTCATATACGTAGAGACATCAACCTAATAAAAAAAGGGTCGTGGGAACCTTGATGTAACTCTGCTTAACACAGGAGTGAAATTCAATTCTACCAGCCAGGGAAAACCCCAGTCAACAGAGGACACGTCATATGACCAAATGAAGGACAATTATCAACACAGGGCATGCAACAGATTCAATATATTTTCACACAAACATCAAGACAACACATTCACATTTTGCCTGATTCTTCCCAGAGCATCTGCACTTAAATAAAGTTGAAGTTACAGTAGCCGAACTGTTTATATGGTGCCCCGGGAGGCCTGGTGGCTTAGAAGCTAAGATCACAAAAGTGACTGTATATTCACTTTTTTTTCACTTTAATAATAAAACATGAACAGTAAATTGTTCATGCTGATAGTTGTACCCATAATATTAGGGTTGTGCTTTAATTACTTTCCCTGCCAGGAAATAAAACATATAAAAGAAGTACCACTGGTCTGTCAGAGGTACATTACACTGACAAAAAAACAGCTAATCTAGTTCCCAAGCTGTGATTGTGCAGTATTGGTCCGCTGGGTGAGTGTGAGCTTTGAGCAGGACTGACGACGTAAAACAAGTTGAGCTTGCACAGTTTTCTGAGCTTTGCCGTCGACTTCTTGTCTGTTGCTAAGTAACTCAGTATGGCACGTCTTTGTTCGAAAAATTGACTGAACTATAACTCACTGCCACTCAGATAAGATAGTGTTGTGTACCGTCCTTGCTGCTGAACTAATGCTAACTTTGCTTCCTGGTTCTGGCTTGCTATAGAGAACAGGTCAGACATCTGACTTTTTTTTTATAAAATATATCAATATATTTCTTTTTATTCACTTGAGCTAGTGATTTTAGGTTACTGAAAGACAATTACAAACCGTAGAGGCAAATAAATATCTGAGAATAAATCATACATAGTTATATTGAAAGTTATATTCAGTTATTATTTGGGAACGTGTGTTTGTGTGAGTTGGCAAGCAGAGCAGTTTGTGTTCACACCAACTCTTTGGGGAGGAAAAATACACCTCTGATCAAATTGACAATTTCGGGAGACAAATATTTGCCAACAGTTTGCAACTGTGTGCCAGGATCTGTTGCTGTGTGATTAAAATGCAATCAAAATGTTGGTTTTTCAAAATAAAATACAAATTTAAAGTTGGTGCCCCCACTTTAATGAAAGAGCAGTGGATGGAGGTTTTAGAGCCAACAAATCACCCTTCTTCAATTCTTCTTTTTCCTCTTTGTCCACTGTGGGAAGGATGATGATCTGTGCTGAGTTAAGTGGTTCGTAGTGAAGGGGGCTGCGGGAGCTGTGAGAGTGAGTGTGTGTGACTGTGTGTGAGTGTGTGTGTGTGTGTGTGTGTGAGAGTGTGTGTGAGAATGTGTGTGTGTGTGTGTGTGTGTGTGTGTGTGTGTGAGAGAGAGAGTGAGTAAGAGACTTGCCTGGGCCGTGGTGCGTGCAGGTCAGAGGGGCATGGATGATTGGAGGAGGACAAGGACTTGTGGTGACGGGGACGCGAGGAGGAGGAGGAGGAGAGGACGGCAGCGGCTGAGGCAGTGGAGGCGCGGGAGCCCGGAGTGTTTAGGCTGGGGAGGGGGGAGGATGGGGGAGGAATAGGAGTGCCCCGCCCGACATAGATAGACACACACAGACACACACACGTATATGCATACACCCAAACACACGTAAGTGACACAGGAAACACACACCATACATACATAACATCAAACATACATTCCAACATACACATATAGGCAAACACAACATGGGCGGGGTTTGTGTGTGGGTGGACGGAGAGGTGAGGTGGAGCATGGTTAGAAGCAGCACTTAATGAACACACACTAAGGGAGGGGTGGGGGAACAGAGAGCACAGGAGAGAGAATAGAGGAAGTAGACACTCAAGACAAACAGAAAACACGTAGAACAAGAGGACACAAACAATGAGGAAAGGTTGGTCTTTTTGTACATTGCTCCATCCTGGTTTTACAAAAAGAAACCATCTTTGCATGTCATATCTGCCTGACACAAAAGGCAGAGCACAAAAGACCAACTTTGACAAGAGACTGAAAACACTCTATGAGACATTATGTGGATAAAGTCAGATCGAAATGCAACATTTTTTGCAGTAAAGAGAATAAAGATACCCCTTTAAATATATAAATACAATTATGGGTTTATATACCCTTTGTTATAGGCATATACATATAAAGAAATTCTCAAGATTATCCTGTTTGGGTGCCAAGTAAAATAAGCCCCAACCAAATCCCACATCTGTGTGTAAATATCTCAAAGAAATGGCTTTTTAAATTTGATTGCTATTTTTAACATCTGATTTCAAATTTTTGTGAAGCCCACTACATTGCATCGCTTGTATGGAGCCCCCGAAGGTTCACAGGAAGAATTCTTTTTTACTTCCGCATTCCCTCACAATAGTTTCCTGTTTCCATCATGCAACACTGTCATTTCATTAAGATGCACAAGTGCGCAGTCATCTCTATCTGTACAGTAACTGGCTCACACATATGGCTCAGAAGGAATAGAGGAAAGGAATCCTCATAAAGATTCTTGCTGAGGCTCAGTAGTTTAAGAAGAAATGTTTTTGTTAATATTTTCTATTCTTTTATTATGACAGTGTCTGAAAGAAATCTTCATAATCTGATGGTTGTCATAATCTGCATATCAATCCACAGTTAAGTCATTAGCAGCCTATAATAAATGTTTCTAGTTTATATCTACATAACTATCACTCAGTAAAGTGCTGGGTTTCCATGGAGACAAGCACATGTTCGACAGGACATAAAGCTGTTTTAAACTGTCATGGGACGATCACTCTGACCTCCGTTTTATAGGCTTGACCTGGTCTTGCAACTTCTGCCTGTCAAGTGCCTGACGACTACTTTTTGAAACTTCCCGTCATTTTCATGGTGCACGAGGTTCTAAAACTAAATCAGGCAAAAACAACACAGGCTATTTCCTGAAGCCTTTCTTAATCAGAAAAGGGTTGCTATGGGCTACAAAGCTCTGCACGTTGCTGACGGCTTGGACTAGACTTTTTTCCACACACAGAAACAAACAGTAAGAGACGGGGGAGAGTGGTACGACAGAGCGAGGGAGAGAGATAGCTTGAAGAGAAAGCAGAGGAATGAGAGAGAAAGAGAGGGACATTTAGGGACACCAAACAGCTGCTAATTACAAAGAAAACAAACACATAGTGGAGAGGAAAACACACACTCTTTCTGACAGGGATTAGCCCGGCTAGTGATGGAAAAATAACCAAATTCACTGGACAACCCAGTGTGTGGCAACCATTTGAGCATGTATTAAATGTATGTTGAAGCCTATGTGTGTCAATGAGTTTGTATGTGTAGAGCCTCAGTGTGTCTGTGGATATTTTTGTGTAAGTGTAAGCCTATTAAGAGCCAAGTACAGGCAGCATATAGTTCCACTAAGAGTTAATATTCCATCACAAGTCTTCCTAATCTCCTTAGAAAGAGAGCAGAGAAAGAGAGGAAAGATTAATATAAAGACATAAAAGAAAATGGAAGGTGGGAAAAAAAGGAAAAGAAAGGAGGTGCCAAGAAAACGCGAGTGACTTGAGATCCAGAGGGACAAGAGCTCAGACGCAGATAAAAGAACGGATGAGGAAAATTAGAAAAGGAGAGAAAGAAAAAGGGCAGAGTTGGGAGAGGGGGGAGGGTTTAACAAGAATAGTAGCCCAAACTTCAAGCATTAATGATGATCAAATAAAGTAACTTAAAAATAATCAAAGCGGATGACAACCACTAAGTTAGCAGAGTGCATTATGGCTAACAGACCCACAGTATTAAAAAAAGCAATGCTGTCTCAAATGACCACTTCGCTGCATGTAGTGTTCAAGAAACGCATCGAAAGAACAAGGATCATTTCAATCATTACTTTTATCATGTTTTGTGATGGACACTATTGTGGGAACGAGGGGTCATTTGAGAATAAAGCAGTAATGACAATGACCACTGCATCATTGTAGGAATTAGGGTTTGGCTTAATGTTCAATGCTTAAAAAAAAAACACACACACACACACACAAAAAGCTTATGGCTGGTTAAAGCATGAGTGATATGAGGGTAGTTTATATATACGCGCTCCTGGGCAACAAATTCAACGACTCTGAGGGATTTTAAATGAAATAAAGCTTGAAAGTGTGTTTTTATGGCCTTAATGTGAAGATGAAAGTTCACAACCAACTCCAGTGCGACCGAAAGATAATTTTGTTCAAGGTGAAGTTGTTTATTGTGGTTGGGCAAGAAAGTTGGAGGAAAAGTTTAACAAGGAAGGATAAAATGAGATAGGGCGGACTTAATTTCTTAAAAACACAGAAATCGTTTGAAGAATAAATTAGGGCCACTGTGTGTCATCCTTTGCATGTGAGAATGTGTGTGCGTGTCCAGCGAACCCTGCTCTGCTCTGCCTGGCAGGCCTCCATCAGACCATCTCGGGTAATCTGTAATCTACTGGAGGTTTGGCCTAAATACCCAAGAGAGCCTGATTTCCTCATCCAGGAGGGCTCACCCCGCCCTGGGCCGCGGGCCTCCCTGAGCCAGCTGGCAGTGCTCTGGAGAGTACCAGCAAAGGTCTGGGATTCAGTCGCTGAGACAGCTGTGGCACTGCTTCATTCACAGACCATAATGAGTGTGTTTGTATAAAGTGTGAGCTGGTGATGAAGCAGCGCTGCCTCGAAGCAACTAGTTGGGTTGCCAGTGACAAGCGACAAAGAGTGTATGTGAGAATGACAGTATGTGGGTGCGCTTGTCCTTGTCTCTATGAAAACGTGTCTCTTTTGTGATTGTGCGTCATTATGTGTACCTGTCCTTGCCGTTCTGGATGCCCTGGCTCAGCGTGGCTCGCTCTGTCAGAGGAGAGTTCCGACTGCGACCAGTACCGGTGGACAGGATGCTATTCTGTAGGAAGAGAGGAGAAAATGAGAAGAGGGTTAGAAATATAGGACTAATTTCAACTGAGGATATAGTTATGGACAGTGAGGGATCAGCGAAGGGAAGTGACATTAAAGGTGACCAATCATTCCTAGAACAGCCTCGAGCCAGCAATGACTTTAATTACCTAAAATTAATTAAACCCTCACCAAATTGTGCCTTAAGAGTATTGACTTTAATGAATTCATTTTTCTGCAGCTGCTGAGAATTACCTGCACAATCACGCAATTATAAAACCCATTTACGGTTATCTCAGTAATATTAAGTTGTCATCTAAAGCCAATGCACACCTGCACGGTTGTTTTCCATGGCCCTGACTGATAAAAAGCTGTGATCATGTGGAGGTTGGGTGGAGCAGAAGTCCATAAACTATTAAAAACAATAGCTGTTGTCCCACCCTTGTAAGGTGTGACAAAACTAACAAGGGAGTGAGAGACATGTCAAACAGGTAGATGTCCATACAGTCTGGGGGTGGGGTGTGATCAGGAACCTCAAGGAAAGACATCCTTATAAGAAAACACGGGGTGGGAAACCACAAAACATCCATTCTAAACCCTTAAATCTAAGTTTGATTTTTTAACACATTTGCTGGCAGGTGTCATAAGAAGTGTAAGAAGGGCCAGAGGAACCATCCGAAACGTTTGATAAAATTAAATACGCAAGAGCTGTTCGAATACCAGAATAGGAAAGGCCTCAGACATTGCCAAAAATATAGAGTCAGGAATCAGCAAGTACGCAAATCATTCGTTTGCAGCAGTCGCACTGCTCTTCCACTGGCAAGTGCTGTTTTGAGAGCAACAAGTTGTGATTTTCAAAAGTGTAGCATCAGCCAGAGCTAGCTAAAATGTCAGCAATTAGTCCATATATTATGCTGGAAAGTCCTACGAGTAAAATGGCGATTCCATTGTTTATCTTAGCATTTACGTTATGAGGGATACATCCATTTTCCCTTCCTCTATGCTTCAACTCCAAGACCATTTGAATTTCAATATTTTGGGGAATGTATATCTCACACACAAACTTGACCAAGTTCAGAAAAATAAAGTGCAGTAAATCGTATCAAGAAAAAGACAATATGTAAAACTGTAATTTGTATTTGATGAAAAAATCTCAGTGTTGAAAATGTCTTGTATGCAGTGTGTGTGTGTGATTGGTCTCACAGTGGAGGGCGTGGCACTCTTCTTGCGGTCAGAGGAGACGAGAGGGCTGGCCGGCACCTTGGTAGTGGAGCTGCCTGACGAACCCTTCCTCCCAGAATCCTCAGCTGCAGTCCGGTTGTCTGCTTGACCCCCCCTCTTTGAGTAGGAGGAGCCTAGGAAATAGAAAGAGAAAGAGGGAGTGCATCAGACAGCCTGTCACTTGAAGCTTCCTGCAACTCATCTGTCAAAATCCTGACAACACTATTTCTAAACAGTCTCACCTTCTTTCGTGGCTTTGCTTCATTCAATCTGCTCTGCCAGCCGTCCTCCGTTCTTACTTCATTCTTTATTCCACTATACAATCAACCCTCTCTGCTCCACCTCCTTTCTATTCCCTCTCCTTCTTCCCCTCTCTTTATAACATGGCTATGGTTAGTTGTGAGAGTTCTTTTCAAAAACTTTAGTTGCTCCTCATCTCCAAGCACAAACACACACGAGCCCCCCCCCCAATCTCCTCAGACACACACAAGTCTCACCCTGGTCAGTGGTTCTGCGGTTCTGAGGCTTCTGGTTGGATGACACACTGCGCTGTACCTTAAAGAGACAAGAAGGACACGGGTCACTGTGTCATCCTTTGTGTCACAGATTGTTTCCACTCACATATTGGGATTGGGATGTATACAGACACTTTTCTCTAATCCATAGAGCTGTTCAACCATTAATGCAAAATCTTCAAGCATGCATGGAGGCAATGGTTGCTGTCGATACTGTGTGTGGGCCTACAATCACAAACCTCAAAAGAGGATAACATCAAAGTAGATTCACAGGTTGCTTATGTTGTGATCACGTGTCACTGCCTGGAGTCGGGAGACCTCGTTACGTGTTAGCAGAAGATTATATGTGTTCTCATTGTACCTTGTGAGGCGGGGAAGGGGCATTTATGTTGCTTACATCACTTCCTGGTCGAGGCTTGATGCAACCTTCATCCAGCTGAGGAAGAGAAACAATACAAGTGTGTGTCAGGAGCAGATAAATGCAGAGATGCTCTGGTGTGGATACAACAAATAGCAAGGAATAAAACGAATGCTTTAACCAATCCTCAGACCTGGTGTGATGTTTGCGTTTTCAAGACGTGACTGATGAAATACATACAAAAGGCAAAATGCATCATGGGAAATATAATTTGTTTGTTAGCGCCCTTAGCTTGCAAAAAAGTTTAGAAAGTAGCCTTTCTGACAAGGAGAGGAGATCTCGGGAAGTTTGACGGCTATGTTGGTCACTTAAAAAACCAACAAACCTCAATGATGAAGTTATGGGAAACTGTATTGACTAAGAATGAAATAATTTTATTTCATGTCTGCATCTAATTCAGAGGCTGACATATTAAGTTTTTTATAAACGTTGGCAATTCTGTCAGCTCTCAGGTTTTAGGTGGTCGTTTTCAACAGGTATTAGAGTCTGTTTTTATTCAGTTTCCCCAGGTCTCAATGGGTTAAAAGATCAACATAGAGTGAGTGTAAGAAAATCAGTGTACCTCAGAGTTCCTATAATCCAGTAGCAGGTATGTAGCCATTACATCATTGTACTTCTGGTTCACCAGCGAGTCCTGGATCTCCTCCTGAGAGAATCCCATTTGCAGCATGATGTCTACACGCACAGAAAAAGCAGATTATAATTACTCCACAGTTCTCCGAAGGACACATTATCCTTGTGTGTGAGTGAAAAAAAGAACATATGTAGAAAGGAATGCATTTACCTTTTTTCTGTGTGTCTCTGTGCCTACCTGTCCTCCTGGGGTCCTTATAATCTGGCTGGGGCTCAATGTAGGGTTTGAGTTCTTCCTCCTCGTGGCCTACATTCATCCACCGGTCCCTCATTATCTGCTGCTGGGAGCAAGCCAAACAGACAGATACAGGGAGACATGAGATGTCAAAGAAGACGAAAGGGAAAAAGCAGAGCAGGGAGGAAAGGTTAAGGGAAGAGGGGATGGCAAACAAGGAGGATACACCATTACCATTTATTCAGTAGGGTTTTTCTCACAGCATCAGTTAGGTATTATTGTCAATGTAGAAATAAATCTTGCTTTAGAACTGAACTACAAGTGTAACATTCAGATGTGCATTCAATTCAAAAGGGTTTTCCCTGGGTTTCTTGCAGCTTAGGTTTAGCTCAGTGTAGCCTTTACTCAGCTGAATGAGTGACTGTAGATAGTCTATTTTTCTCAATGCTCTCACATCATTATTTTCTCTGACATTTCACACTTCAAGCTCATCATCTGTGATGGACAGAATTCTTGGCTTTACGGCCGATATTTCCTCTATATTTTCCTGTAGTAAAGATGTTGGAAGAAAGTAGGAAGTTGTTTTGACTATTTCCTCTTTGGCAGCAGAACATGTTACACCAGTCTTAAGTAAACTCCTGCAGGTTAAACTGGACCAACCAAACAAATGAGGATGGTAAACTCTGAAAGACTCACAATAGACAAATATGAAAACACTCACCAACCCAGCAACATTAAGGCTACAAACAACCCATAATGCAACACTCCACCGTGGTGATGTAGTACTCTCTCCATTCAAAAAAGTATATCTGCTTTAATGAATAAACACATAATTGTAACAGCTGCTCTTTAAAGGCCAGAGAAAGTATCTATCTATCTATTCACACTTGGCATAGGTGCAGTGTTAGGGGCCAATTTGGATTTAGACACGGGATATGCTCATTATCAATAATGTTTTGAATAAACCAATGCTCTATAGCAGTGGCGGCTGGGACTCAAAGTAACTGACGTTGTCAATCACGAAAAGTGTGTTTACAACAACAATTGATTCTCCAGTTCAGGGTTCTGCGTACTGAGTCGAGCTTCACTGAACTTTGAATAAAGCGATGAAAAGCTCTTTGTGAAGCAGTGGTGGTGGTGGTGCAGCTTCGGGTACAGCGGCCTGAGTCCAGCAGCTGGTCTTCAATTGACGCGGCTCAGTTACTGCAGGTCACTTTTACAGTTTCAGAAATAAAACTACAACCAGTGTTACCACAGGTCAAGCAGACAGCCCATTATAAACAGGCATTGCATTAGTTGTCTTTGATTAAGGCTTTCACATGGACAGACTGACCAATCAATTTCAACATTTGAGGATGAACTCCTACAGATGACCCATCTTGTTTTCAAGGACACCCTTGGACACAAAAACATGGATGATGATCACGTACATGATTCAAACAGATTGTGTCAAGTAAAAATTATGGCAAATCGCAACAGGGTTCTATCAAAACATAATGTTTCACAGATAGCTTAATGAAGATTTATGCAAATGAAACAGTCACTTGACTGATTTCTAACACTAAAGCTTGAGTTTACTTTACAGTGCTGCTTCTACAAGCAAATGTTATTAAAAATCATCAATTATGTTAATGTTTGATTGTTTTTTTCCTGCTTTAAAGTTCTATCTTCCATCTAAAACAGTTTCCATTCATCCACCTTTAGTTCAACCAAATTCAGCAAGTCATAAGTTCTTAACTCACAAGTATTTACTATGGTTTTAAAAAGAACTTTACACTTCAGCAACAAAGTCACATATAGCTGGTGAGGCAAGTCCAGGTATAGAGTCCAGCGCTACGTGTGATGCAGACAGAACTACATTAAAAGAAGGTTTACTATGTTTTTTTCAGTGTCCATGTTTTATCAATTCAAATATAAGGAAAGTCTTGTTGAACATGAGAATTAAATATAAGAGTAATCACATGGCATAAAATTGATTCAAAAACACATCAAGCTATTTTAAAAACTACCCAGCTTCACTTTAATCCATATGCTTCCAACAATGCAATCCAACAGTGTCTTGTGCTTTGTGAATGAGTGTGTCGATGCCTGCATGTACCTCGAGGCTGCCTCTTTTCGAGGGGTTCAGGATGAGGAACTTCTTAAGTAAGTTTTCGCAGTCAGTCGACATGTAGAAGGGAATCCTGTATTTGCCTCGCAGGACACGCTCTCTCAATTCCTGGAAGTGGAAAAGTGCACGACTTTAGGTTTTGTAGGAGGAAAGACTGACAACCACAACTATTTACAATTTGATTGGTTGTCATGATTGTGTTGTGGGTTAGGGTTAGGGCAAATATTGTCCATTTTTGCATGTTTTGTTAAATCTACATCTCATCTGTATGCAGCTACTAACATCTCTTTCAATATAGTTCCCTCCCTTTCGGCTTGAATTAGCTAAACTGCAACATTAGCTGCGGTTACACCCACAAATGATTAATAGTTTAGTTAAACAAGTACCTCATTCACTTAACCAAAAGCTGGTCAGCATCTAAATAAGCTACGATAAAAAGATAATGTGACATTAGGAAACAATTTTTTTAAATTTATTTTCTGGTAAATGCTTTAAACAACAAATATGATTAAGTTGATATAAGATATTTTTCAGCTTCCATAAAATCACCTAGCACAAATAGTTAACACTGAATTAAAGTGTTAGCAATTTACTTCATTGGACATTGTTAATCCCGCTGGAAGTGTCTCATTAATTATCACTTATTGAGACACTGGAGGATAAGGGCATGTTTAAACACTATAATACACAAAACAGGCTTTCAATGAGCTTAGACTGCCAGACACAATTTTCAGAAAAAACAAATCCTGAAATTAAAATGTCAAATTAATTAAATGAAGTGCTTAAACACTGACGTAATAATTTCACACTTTTGGTGGGTGCATCACACATAAAGACAAGGATTATATTTTATTATAGCACCAACTTCAGCACAGCACAAAGTAATAAAAACAGAAGACAGTGAAGTTAATTGTTAAATCATTAGTAAACCTAGAAATGTAGAAGTCAATGTCTGCACAGCAAGAGGTAGTGCAAAGGCATATTTAATGAACATCGATGTGTTTTGCAGACATGTTAATATCAATAGCATCACATTCAATGTCATATCGCCCACCAAAAATGTGTCTGCACTTCAAGAATGAGTCATTTGGGTACTGACTGAATGCACAGTGTGATAGGTGGTAAGAATAAACCGTTATCAGAAAGTATTGAATCCTTTATCTTTTCTATAAAACCACCAAAGTCAATTTAAAAAGTACAAGTCCACTTATTCTTGAGTTCAGTTTCTGCTTTCGGTAGAGGAACAGGAACAGAAACCAGCATGACAAATACGGCAACCACCCACAGAATACAGACATCCACTTATGTAACATTAACACACACACAAACACTCGCTCTCCTTTCCCTGACCTTGAGGTTCTGTCCATCAAAGGGCAGCGATCCGCTGACCAGTGTATAAAGGATGACCCCCAGACTCCAGACGTCCACCTCTGGCCCGTCATACTTCTTTCCCTGGAAGAGCTCCGGGGCAGCGTAGGGCGGGGAGCCGCAGAACGTGTCCAACTTGTTCCCCAGAGTAAACTCATTACTGAAGCCAAAGTCCGCTATCTTGATGTTCATGTCTGCGTCCAGGAGCAGGTTCTCTGCCTGCAGACAGACAGACAGACAGATGAGAGTGTGGTAGAAAGGAAAATGAGACAGAAATAAAGACATAATTATGATGTAGAGTGCAGGAGGATGTGGTGGGAGAAAAAGATACAGGAGAAAATGAAAGATAATCAATGTGCTGGGATTTATTTTTCGTGCGCCAAGAAACCAAACAAATACTTGTGCTTTGTGTATTGCATTACTGTGATATTTGGGTATTTTTACACTTGGTCAGAGGAACATTAACTTTGTAGCAGAAGAGTTTGACAAAAAGGCAAAGATATTTTCTGACATGCAGAAATTACACACTGCACCTCATTACAGAGACTCTGTCTGAAATACAACTTTCTCTGGGGAAAAAACAGGTCTTTTGTAAGAGAGGGGGTTTTAAGAGTAATGGCTTGGGGCCTGCAAGTAGCACACAATGGGCAAAGTGAGCTAGCACAGTTTATTCATCTGTCTCTGTGTGTGTGTCTCTGTGTGTGTCTCTGTGTGTGTGTGTGTGTGTGTGTGTGTGTGTGTGTGTGTGTGTGTGTGTGTGTGTGTGTGTGTTCCTGAGCCTAAAGTGAGCCAGTGAGCAAGGAGGCAGGGGTTGCCTAGCAACAGGTGCACTCTCCTTTTCACTTGCTCTGAATACTCCGCTGCCTCTGTGTGTGTTTAATACATCACTGACATCATCTGTAAGCTCTGACCTAATAAACAAACAAACACTGGCTTGTCATTAATTTGTTGGCAGAATTTATCTATAACTCATTAACATTTTTAAAGTTTGGGGAGCATTTTAGGCCTGTATTTGACAGGACAGAGTTAGACGTGAAAGGGGAAACAGATAGAGAGTGGGGGTGACATGCAGCAAATGGCCGCAAGCTGGAATTGAACCCGGGCCATTGCAGAGGCATGAAGCCACAGTAGTGCGGTAAGTCTACCAGCTAAGTTATTAATCATTAATATTTTTAATTGGCCAAACAAAATGTAACTGTGATGATGTGGTTTTTTTTTTTCTTCAAACGACAGCAAAAAAAGAGCCACTACTTTTGTAGGCACAGTGTTTTAAACCTTAAGTAGAGCATGATTAAACCGGACAGTTTTTTTTTTTTTTTGCATCTTCGGACAGAGAGTGAATAATTTTGCATTTGCTATAAAATGTGGTCTCACCAAAATTTGCTCTTGCAGTGTCAGGCCCAGTAGAGTTAAGCCTGTCCTGGATTTAACATCGCAACCCCCCAGATCAAGAGTGATTAGGATAATGTGCAGGATGGTACGCATTATAATAATGAGAACTGTCTGTCCTCCAGAAACCTCTTTTTTCCCATGCTGCCCTTTTTTTGGATAAATGATTTTTGATTATTAACCATCATTGCCTGCTTAAAGTGCAGCAAATGTTTCTTGATCCAAAACAAAAATCTATTGAAAAGTAAAAAAATAACCATGAGTGGGACTTTGGGATGAAAGGTTCCTGTTTGATCACTGTAACAGTAATCATGATAATGTATTGAGCCTGCTGACACAATAAGAGGATTTTTAACTGCATAATACTAAGAAGTAAAATTAACCGGAAATAATAATAGATCAGTGAGTGTGTGTTGCTTTTGTTTATTGGCACCCATACTGTGTATCAAAGACTGGGAGTAAAATAGAGACAAGGAGAAAACAGGAGACTGTGTGTGTCTGTGTGTGTCTGTGTGTGTCTGTGTGTGTCTGTGTGTGTGTGTGTTTAAGTCATCATACTTGAAAGAGAATGACATCTTTGTGAGGCTGCTTGTGCTTTAACACTCAATGTAATTCATGAATGTGTTTGTGTGCATGTATTTTCTCTCACCTTGAGGTCTCTGTGTACTATACACTTCTGATGGCAATACTGCACCGCTGACACAATCTGCAGATTGAGAAGTGAGTGAGTGAGAGTGAGAGAGAGAGAGAAAGCCATACAGGGAGAGAAAGGATGACAAAATGTCAAGGTTGAATCAGTGAGAGCTCCTCATTAGGATTTCATCAGAATACAATCATATGGATTTATTATGAATGGAAAAAAAAAAGTCTTCCCTAGTGCTAATGGTAAAAAAAAATTCCTTCTGCTCCCACCTGCCACAATTCCACAAATACAGACGAACTCTACACTGACGATACACACACAAAGAACTTTTCCCCCCAGCACACACCTGTCTGAATTTGGCACGGGCTTCTTTCTCTTTCATCCTGCCGTGGGCCACCAAGTAATCAAAGACCTCTCCTGGGAGACGAGAGAATGAGGAGGAGAGAAGTTTTAGTGTTGGAACCGAACACTGGTCTCCTTAAGGACATAGTATTGGGTCAATGGGACGCTGATCTGAGGGGTATTTTGCTTTAAAAACAAGTAGCAAAATTGTAATTAAGGACTGGAATTTAAGACAGAAAAACTGATTCTCAATTTAATCTGAGAACATAAGCGTAAAAGAGCAGGTCTATTGCGAAGAGAGGATATTGCAATTTCTAAAAAAAAGGCCTTTGGACAAATATCTTATGAAAGACTCGAGAGGCTGTACATTAAAGAGAGGTAGCATTTTTTGTTTGATGGGAAATATATGATAAGATCCGAAGAGTCGGGCCTCAGGGGGAATGATTTCACAGTGGCACGCACTTACCTCCACTAGCATACTCCATTACCAGGTACAGTGTCTTCTCTGTCTCGATGACCTCAAAGAGCTTGACTAGAGGTGGAGAAAGAAAGAAGGAATGAGAATTGGAGGGAAAGGGGTAAATGAAGTGGAGGGAGGCAAAAGGATTATGAATGCATGACAAGTGATGTCTAGTTCTTAGTGAGTAATGACAGAGTGAAAAACTCACGTGTCGGCGTAACTCACCTATGTTGGGGTGATTCAACATCTTCATGATCCTCACCTCCCGGAAGAGCTGTTAGAAAGCAAGTCACACAAAGTGCTGTGTCAAATACACTTTCAGATGTCAGGTGGTGGTGTTGTGAGTTACATTTATATTCAAAATGTTCCTGTGCAAATAGTGTCAAAGATATTTAGTGTCAGTTTATGTGCACAAATGGACATGGAAGGAAAAGAAATAAACAAGTTTCTTAAATTGAAAAATAGCTGTTTTAGAAAGACTCCCCATTCAATAGTTGTAGAACAAAATGACACACACAATGAAAACAGTGTTTATGGACATGTGAGTCAAATTACTCGAAGGCAAGCAAAAACAAACACTGCCTGTGGTGACGCAACAGCAGCGATTCAGGCAATACCGGTTTAAATCCAGGGTCTGTCAAAAAACAAATGTAGGATCACAGAGTTTAACAAACAAATGAAAGGTTTGATTTGCCTTGAGCTAGTTGTAAACTCTTAACAAGATGAGAGACAGGCAGAAGCACTCAACAAAAAAGTACTAATTCAACCGAAGTCTACCTCAACGCCGTCCGGACTGTTCCTTTAATAAAGACATGAGGGGACGCTTTTCACTCATTAGGAATCTATTTACTCCGAGTCAGCAGATAAAGTCGCTCTGTGCTTCCTGGATGTTTTGGGGGCAAATAACCTGGAAGTCACACTGTAGACAGACACCCAGTTGGAAACTTGCTAGGCTGGAGCTGTTGTGTTGCAAAACAATCAAAAAAGCAACACAGAGACTGTAATATTTAAATATGTAAATCAGAGCCCTAAAGCTGAGTTTAAGCCTATCCTAAAGTAAGCTATGGTGACTGTGTGTAAACCTCCTTTAATGCAGAACTGAATCACTAAATCTGGCTTTAACAACTGGTGACTGGTTTTCTTACTGCCCTTAAAAAACCATAACAAATGAAATGTGTCCTTTTGTCTGGTAAAGATTAGCTGAACAACTTTTGATCTCTAAAATGATTAAACTCTGATTGTATAATTATAGTATGAGACCAGGGCATAGCCAACATCCTACCAAGGAGCTTATGTTTTAGTCTGTGTTTGTTAATTTGTCTGTCTCTTTGAAGTGCTTACTGACAATAAATGCTAGGGACTATAACTGTTGTATGTAAGTAATTGGAGAGTTGCAAGTTACTTTTTCATGCTCTGTCCAGTTTCAGGGTGTTGAATATAAACTAAAAGATGCTGGATGAAAGTTTCAGCATTCATTTGAGTAGAATACTGTTAGTTGGGGATATAACTTGTTTTACACATTGTGCACAAAATGTAGCGGTTCAAAGGTAATTCGACAGCAACAGGTAAAGTCAAACAACACTTTCATATTTAATATTTTGTGTAAAAACCTGTCAGCCGGAAATATTTGACCCACAGACATCAACAGACTCTTTGGATCTTTCCTGGTGATCCTCTCCCAGGCCACCTTCAGTTCCTTCATGTTGTGTCTCTGCCTTTAGCCTGGTCTTTGGCAAGTGGAATGCTTGTAATGTGATAAAAAGGGCCACATCGCCCACACAGTTCTTTCTATAGTGACGTAGACCTTCTCAAATTGAAGCTGAGACTTGTTTTTAGATGGCATCATTTATTTAATTTCAAATATGAAGTGCTGAAGCTCAAAGTCTAAAGCACAAAAATGTGTCACTCTCTACATCTCAACATTGCACGCTTTCGAGTGATTTTGCACCCAAGTGTGTATTCTATAACTTGTGTCTGTGGCTGCATGACACTTAGTGTGTGTGTGTTCAGTGTGCAAGAGTACATGGTTAGAGTTGTGCGTGTAAGTGGACAGACTCCACCCTGCTACGATCAAAGGAAGTAATTGCAGCTTGTTTCCTGTAATTAAAACTCTCTCTGAAAACTAGACCACTTCAGAAACAGAGAGGGAGGGAGAGAGAGAGAGAGAGAGAGAGAGACACATGGGGCAGGAAGAGTGAAAACGACTTCTGAATAAAGGGATAAGAGGGACTGAGTTTTGGATTTTATTCCTGTGCCCGTGTGTGTAAGTGCATGTGTGTGTGAGAGAGAGCTAGAGAGACCCACCTTCTGCAAACTGGAGGAGTTGAGCTGTGTCTTATCAATGATCTTTACAGCCACCTACAAGCAAAACAAGAACATATTCATCTATTATTACACTTTTATAATTCATTCAATTATTCATTACACTGGCTCAATGGGTTTGACACATCCCGCTCACAAAAAAATTGTTTGAAGTTTGCGCAGTTATCCTTGTGAGAGCTTCCAGTCCACACTTCTTTGTGGATGGCCGAACCCATAGCCTCAACCATAACCAATTCCAACCCTGACCTTCACCTCACCTCCTAACCTTAACCCGGGACCTTAGAAATGACTTTTTGACCTGGCTTTGGTCCCCATTAAGACTACTAATCCCAATAAGAATGGGGTTTTTACTGGAAAAGGTCCCAAAGAAGTAACCTGTAAAAACACACACAAACAGTACAGTGCAATCTTGCACCATTAAGTGATAAAGGCCCATTCCCTGCACACGACAGTTATATAATAGGGCAGAATACAGGGACACACAGAGCTGAAGCCGGGTTTTACCTTTATAATATCAAGGTCTATAGTTCAGAACATCATAAACATAAAGAGATAGAAACATAGAAATGAAAGTAGCAAGCTAGGAGACACACGATGTGAGAAAAGATAACTTAAAGAGAGAAGGCAAGGAAACAAAGAATTATCTCTTAACGAGGACACAGGAAGAGGGAGGTCTACTTCTCTCTCTCCCATTTCTGTCTTTTACTGTCAAGTAACCCATTTCTTCCACTCCTCTTTCTGGTTGTACTTGTCTGTCTGACTCTTTCATGCCCTCTGACTCTCCCTTGTTTTCTTTGAGTGTGTGAGTGTGTGCCAGCAAGTCACATGGAGTGTTATCAGGGTGTCAGGCACAGGGCTGTCACACATTGACAGAGCCCGCCTACCCTTGGCTCTCGCCACACAGGCTGAGAGTTGGCTTGACAGGGCCTCAGACAGAGCCCGGCATGGGCTCACAGCGGACACTGCTTCGCTCTTAAAGGGACAGAGTGCTGCGTTACATCACATCTGGAATTCACAGTGAGCAAGAGACATTTAGGCTTCTCTATTCAGGCAGACAATGGTGATCTAATCTCCTGCAGCAGATGTACCGTCTCCAAAGCCATGCGAGCCTCAGATCAGACCAGACCTACTGTGTATCACAGCGTGAACCCTTCCCTGCTCTCAGTAAGCAGGAAGGAAGATTAACATTTAGACATCCGCTAAACATTTATCTTGTTTTTCTACTCAGGGCTATTTAAAAATATGAAGCTCCTTTTCTATTCAGAGTAGTATTTGGTGATATACCAGTCAGCAACACCACTTAAACCACACTTGCTAACAAGTTCTCAGTGACAGTTTGTCACTGTCTTTATCAGAACAATCAACAATTTATTTTTGCTTAAAACAGCTTTCTTAGCCAAACAACAAGACCGATTATATTTAAGTAAAGATTCTTTCTCCAGAATGTGACTTAATTGGCTAAAAATAAAAGTCTAAAAAGTTCTGACGGTTGGAATGACGCTGAAAGTGGAAGCAAGGGTTTCCAATCATGTATGCTCATGCCTACCTCTTTTCCGGTGAGGACGTGTCGTGCCAGCTTGACCTTGGCGAAGTTGCCTTTGCCAATGGTTTTCAGCAACCGATAGTTACCGATGTGCGGCTGGTCATCTGATGTGGTCGTGGCGACGGAGTTCCGACATCGAGGCATGCTGGCGCGGCCAGATGACGGCTTGGTCTCCTGGACAAATAAAAAAAGGCAGAAAACACTGTATGTAAGCTACAGCCAAAACTTGAAAGCTTTTGAGTATTTTATATATACACATGACATATACTCAACACTTCATTACAAAAAATGCAATTATACCCCCAAAAAAGCACAGAACACATATTTCAGAGAATAAGCACTTGCACTGGCCACGTTCTGTGTTTAAGGTTCTGCATTATCACCTAGAGGCAAGATTAAGATATAGGCTTGGAATAGACAGCCAGTCCTCAACAACTATCTTTGTAGTATTTAGCCTGGCTTAATATTAGGGTAAGTGCACATTGGGTTTCAGATCAGGATTGGTAACATAAAAAAAAGTAAAGGTAAGGCAAAGCCAACAGTGTGTCATTCTGTGTGTTAGCATGTGTGGGGGTATTCAAGAAGGGTTAAAAAGTTTCTTGTGAATATCAAATGGTATTTTTTCCTAAAATGCATGTTCCACGTTACCCCTGCTCCCTGCACTGTATTTATGTGACTTTACTGGAACACCACTGAACATACATCGCTGGCGTGATCCTTCGCATGATTCCAGCTAAGGCCAGTAATGTATAAAAGTTATTTTTAACAATCACTCTGCTTCAGTTCATCTTACAGCAGACAGTAGGTCTTTGGAGCTATATACACACCCACAAAAAGAAAACAAAACCTTGCTGCGCTGGCAAGTTTTGCATGGCTGGCAACTGCGATTGGGTTTCAGCTCCAGGAAAGGGTCACAGCAATTGTGAGTGTGTCTATGTGTGTGTATGTGTGATCTGAGCAGACAGGTGACAGGGATCAGGGTCAGAGGAGAGGACGACTGGCTCCAGGGTGACGAGACGCAAACACACTCACACTCACACTCTCACTCACACACACACACACACACACACACACACACACACACACACACACACACACACACACAGACTCTAGCTGTGGCACAAACAGCACTGCAAACATACAAGAATGCACCCTCGTGCACGCAAAGGTGTGGGTGCACAGTCACACACGCCAACATACACAGCAGCACAAATCACACAATAACACGCATCTAAGAGATTTGACGCCAATGAGAGACGGTTCAGTGAAATTCACACTGTTGTTGCAGTGTGAGGAGGTTCACACAAATCATCTCTTTCTCCTCTTATGTTGCTCCAACAGACTAGTCATTTCATTCGCTCAATTATCTCTCTCTGGCTTGATCAAATTAGAAGCTTGCTCCGTCTCACAAATTACCCGCAAAAACCAAATTTTTTATCAACATCTGCCTCCCTCCGTTACCAGATCTTTGGTCATGGGAAACAAGGATTACCATGATTACTTCATTGTGTTTATTGGTCCAGATGGTATGATCTAATGTCTGCATTTAAACACCCTACCCCCAACAACTTAATGCTGACAGTGCAGACCTGCATATAAAGTATAATTGCGTAGATTAAGTCCGAATACAAGGGGGGAACTGGGATTAAAAGCAAATGACAGTTACATTAAACCCAGAGGAGAGGGGAAGGGCCTTATGTGGCCTTGTCTGAGGGGGAAGCAAATGATTTTTATTTTGGGATCATGTGGGGGAGAGAGACAGACAATATGTCATACATGCATACTGTTTGACACAATGAGACCTTTTCTGACTGGACAAAGCTGATAACAGTTGGGTGGTCCTAACTGAGATCTATGTTGATCTATCCTCCACTGTCACTCACTTAGCGTTTGCTTTGAGCTCATTGGAGTAATGTTGTCCAAAATAGAGCTTGGAGGTCAGATTTTGCCCTTAACAAAACATTTGTGTCTCCCAAGGTCTTCTGGAAAGTGATATTCTGTTTTGTTGTAGTTTATAAAACGTGTCTGTGAGATAATATAAAAGTAATAAAAATGTAGGTAGTATTCAAGGAGCGCAAATGTAAAAGGTAAACCTTCCTCTAACACCTGATTTCACCTGAGAGAGACAAAATTTTCAGTCTTTGGTTAAGTACTTGCTTTAATGGGTCAACCACCCAGGAGTCGTTAGTCTGAATTAGAAGTCTATTTAGACATTATTTTTTAGGAAAGTTTTACAAAGCACAGCAAGTTAAAATTCATTCACTCTGAGATCTTTCACAGTCCTCAGCGCTTTGGTCTACCTTCTCTCCTATCCTCTTTCATGTCAGACTATTTTTGTCTTCTGATTCTTCCTTCATTTTTGGGCAGCTGCAGGCTAAGCAAGCCACCCCCACCACCAAACACACTCACCTCTCCCCTCAGTTATAATTATAGAAGTGTTGGAGGACAATAAGTGACATCATTGTTTTGTTCTCACATTATGCTCTGATGCTACTTGTAAATCATGAATGCCATATGAGACATGCCAGCGCACACAGTTTAGCAGAGCACTTACTAACTTAGTGCTCATTGAAACTGGATTTGTTAATGACATTTACAACTGATCTGATGACAAAGACACGAGTGCAACCAATCACATGTTAGTTTTGAGCATCGGGTTCAAGTGACACAATTGGGGGAAGTCAGCAAGCTGGAGCAAAAGTTTTTCACTGTGTGCACTGAATAATTGAAGAAATGTCTATCTTCACAAGATTCTGATTTTTATTTTGATGTGCACCAAATTGCACACACTCAAATATCAGTCACATACATATGTCTGATTTTTTCATCAAGATAAAACGACCTATCATGCACTGTTCCTGGATCCGCACCAAGATTAAATGTTTTTTTCCCTGACCGATACCACATCCTTCCACTAATTTTCATGGAAATGGGTCAGGTAGTTTTCTCATAATCCTGCTAACAAACAATCCAACGCAGGTGCAAACCCAACCTCCTTGGTGGAGGTTATTATGTAAGGGCCATTCCCTCTGTTACTTTTCTATCTGTCTATCTCTAAAAACTGATTTCATAAACATGGCATGTAATCATCTGATTTATTTTGCATGTAATGACTGTTTAATTACATTTTCAATTTGGCTGCTGTGTATATACAATTTTTGCCACCCTGCTCTTTCTGATTCCCAGGTTGATTCCAGACCAGTTTCGACAGCAACCATAATTCACAAGCGCAACAGAGCAAAAACTAAACCGGGCTGCCATTGGCTACCGTGCAACAAGTCTGTTGCATGGGGGTTGAGCTTTCTTGTCAGTTGCCAACCGTGTGGAGAGACCATTAGTATAGTGTTTATATCCGGCCCAACAATTCAGACCCCCTCCCAAAACACACACACAAAGTGAAAACTTACTGACATGATGTTTGCAGCTGAGAGCCATTTACTGCCACACTGCAAACACAAGCATGTGCACATGACCCCCCCACACACACACACACACACACAATAATGTTAATCCACGGCAGTACTGGTTGTGTTTTGACTCGGCCCTCATTATCACTGACCTTTACTAATCTGAGTTCTGGGAGGAAGCCACTCAGATACAACCAGATGGAATTTATCACAGTGCAGTTCACAAAGTAACCCGAACAGAGGGTCGCACATGAAGTGAGTGCTACACAATACTATCAAGAGACAGCTGAACCCAAACCCAAGATAGGCAAACACAGGCAAAAACGTCATCAGCAGCGGGGAGGGAAAAAACGGGGTAATAAAAGGAGATGTGAACTGAAAACACACTGTTAAACCAGGCTAGGCTTAAACAAATTATCTTTACAACATTAAAAAATACTCTCTTAGGTCTTTCCCGTTTCCAGCAGTGCAGATCAGTTACCAGCAACAGGCTTTCAAGCTATTTTCTTAACATATTCATTAATCTCACATTGCCTTAGTCTGCAGTCATGATCAAAAGTCACATTTGTCCATGATTGTTTAATTTACTTGCCTTTTTAGAGAAACTCAGATGATTCTTTTCTGGAGGAGACAAAGACTATTTAAAAAATGTTGTGCAAAATATGTCAAACCAGTTTTGCATGAAGTTCTAAAATAAGTGTAATTACAAACACCCTATTATTACTCCAGTTAAACAATATTATGATATGGCCACTTAAGACAACCAACAGAATGCTGCCTATTATTTGAAGTTGTTTGTGCAAATCGCTTTTTAAAAATACCACATCAAAACCTGCTGTTAACAATAAAATGTAATCAAGCCGTTCCCTCTCATTTGAAATAATTAACTACTCTGTTCCTTCCTGTCCAAAGTTGACCTCGTTTGTTACTGCAGACTCAGAGGTAGGGCTTGACGGAACACTGAGGTGAGGAGAGCAGAAACCCACGCACTGCAATGTAGTTGTGCATTTTAGATTGAAACATAAAGTAGTGGTTGAAGACAGACATCACTGTGACCATGGCGGCTGTCAACTAAATTAAAATTAAGTTGCAAATCAAGCATTAAAACTTGCACACTGCCAGAGAGCATTTTGTCAGATTTACATTCTGTGAAGTAGGGTAGTGGCAGCAATAGGTGTTACCAATGTTACACAGCAATGATGGCACAACTGTCATTTTTATATACTGCATATAATAAATCTAGTTGGTTCATTTTGCCATATCAGCAGTTGTACCAAAGTTCATAAAGAAGTAATGAATTTGTTTTTCGATGCTACAATTATGGATGTGATGAGAGGAGAATTGGTGAACAAGAAAATTGCAAAGGATGTGGTGTCAAAGCGAAAAGCAGAAGTATTTATTTGGAAATATTTCAGATTAAACCTAAATGCCGAGATCAAACCTTGTAACGTTAATGGGGTTATCTGCCTATGTTTATCTCATGAGGGGGGCAGCACCTGGATATAACGTATATAATGTACACACACATCCCACAAGAGTGAGGTTGCTGCCAGTGGAATAAAAATTTAAAGATCACAGTCAGATCACAAGGTGTGCAGGTGTTGTTTTGGAATGGAGGGGTGACCTCCTGGGTATCAAAATAATCATTCATAGTCTTAATCATTGCAACTTTAAGAATTATTCGCAATGCCACTGGTCCAAATTAAGATGATAATTAATTACAATATATTGAGGGAGTCAGTAAATCATGAGAGAAGTGTTCTAAGT